GGGGGATGGTGGGGTCTTGGTCCTTGGAACTGAAGCCGGTACATTCAGACTTGGCGGCGATGCATTGGCCGCAGGGGATGGCGCGATCGCACTTGATTTTCCTCCGACGACAACGGGCGCACGAGAGGACGGAGCGACGACACTCGCTCATGATGAAGAGTGGATGGCGGAGATGTTCAGGGCATGGAGACTGGAGGTGCTGTGGTGGATTGGGAAGGGTGGCGAGAATGATGGCGACCAAGCGGCCTTCGCATCAAACCCATCGGGTTATGGAGGTGACTGAATGAGCCGAGGAATGTGATAAATGATGATGGTGATGACGAGGAGAATGATGGCGCCGGTAGCATTAATAGGAGAGGTGTTGATGGTGGTGATGACGGTGGTGAGGAGGAGGAGAGAGGAGGGGATGAGACATCCTCTTTCGGAGATGCTTGGCTGGCTCGCTGGGGACTCGGTAGTGTCTGGCTGGCCGAATCGGGGGAGAAGGCGAAGTGGTATTACTTAGGCATGTCGACGTAGCCTTGGTGGGTTGGTAGGGTTTGGTAATGGGTTGGTGGTAGTGGTGGTGGAGGAGGAGTGAGCAGGTGGAAGGGCGCAGGATGGCGGCGGTGATTTTCCCTTATCGCAACCCACAGCGAGGCAAGAGCCAGCAATGGCCAACAGCCAGCGCAGCCAGCAGCCAGCAGCCATTGAGCTCCCCCGCCAGACTGCCCACTTTCCTCTTCTCGTCGGTCGCCTATCCTACCTATCGTCCTCCTTGTCTTGCCCGTCTTGCCCGTCCTGCCCGTCCTTGATCCCGGCAACTGTACGAACCAAGGGTGCAGCCCAGTACGAAGGCCTCTGCAAGTCTGCAAGCTTGAAATTCCCTCTTCCTCCTCCCACCTCGGCTAAATGCGCCTTCACTCCCCCTCCTCCCATCTCCTCGAGTTCCCTCTCCTCACCTTGAAAAATGCCTCCCGAGAATGGCTGTTGACTGAAGGGTGAAACAGGTTTGGGGGTTTCTATACTGGTTCGGCCTTTGATGCAAGGCTGTGTTACCAAAAGCGCACATGTCCTTGGTTGTATACTGCTTGAATACCCGCTACTACGGACTTGGTCGGTCGCAATAGCACAACATGGACATCGACCACGCGACCATCTCCGAAGCAGATCTGACACGTCTGCTGCCCACCTGTCAAAGGTGCCGTCGTCTGAGGAGGAAGTGCGACACCAATCTGCCTGCCTGTCGTCTGTGTCAGAAGGGCAAAGCTGAGTGTACTTTTTTCGATCATGCCTTGCAACAGACTCTGCCCCGAAGGTCAGTGTGCCACCAAAAGAAAGAAGGAAAAAAAAAAGGAAATACAAAAGAACAAGGTCTGACGTGACTTCAAAGCTACGTCCATTCACTGCTGACCCGGCTGGGTCGCCTGCGCGCTGTTCAAGCTTCTGTCAATGGCACGAGTGAGCCACTGAGTGCCTTTAAGCTGCCTCACCATGACCGAAACACTTCCACAACATCCACCAACCTTGACCCTCCCCCCAACGACTGGGGCACGTATACCAGCGATCTATCTTTCGACAAACATTTCATCATCGAACATGCCAATCCAACATGTTGGCAGTTCCTGGGTAGCAGCTCGCCTTACGCGCTGGTGGTCGAAGTCCTCGTTCATGCTCAGGCGAAGCTCGGTTCCATGGTCCACCATCCAGACTATGCCGGGCCTGAGTTCTGGCTCAATGCGCAGAGTACAGAAGTCGCCGAGCCGCTGCAGCCCAGGGCTACTCCATCGCGGACTGAGATTCAGATGCTTGTCAACTTGTACATGTCCACCACCAATACTCTAATGACCTTTTTCGATCCCGAAGACATGACCTACGAAATTGACACTTATTTGCGTCACCATGGTTCAAATGTCAAGTACCTTACTGGCAAGGACGCGCATCAATTTTTCCGGGTCGCCATGATCTGTGCCATTGCTTCGGCGAATAAGGCGAGGCATCACTCTGTGTACGACACTGAATCAATGGCGTACTACGCCGAAGGTCTACAATGTGTTGAAGAGGTAACTTCAGATGTCTCTCCGGATGCTCTCCAAGCGCTCCTCCTCCTCATCCTGTTTACCCTATTTCAGCCCAGGAAAGGCGACATCTGGAAATTGTTGGATTTTGCCTGCCGTTTGAGCGTGGAGCTCAATTATCACACCGAGACCAATGACGAATACGAAGATGAGAAAAGTCGGAAGAAACGTCGGGGCATCTTTTGGGGGCTATATTGTATCGAGCGGACAATGGGGCAGCACCTTGGTCGGCCTTCGGATCTGACAGAAGAAATCATCACTGCTGAATATCCTGCGTCGTTGAATGAGGCCGCGATGGCCGATCCAGACACGCTGCAGGTCATTCTGACTTCACATTACTACCGACTGACATATCTGCGCTCAGAGATCTTCCGCGAATTATACCTTCCCGCGGTTGCACCAACTCTACCCCGGATGTGGTATGAGCACAGTGTCGAATCCATGTTGGCGTGGCGGCGCGAACTCCAGTTCATCGAGACCACACCCGGTATGGGCAGCATGACGTGTGAGACGGGCTTTGACACTTCCATCTGTTTCCTGTTCCAGCCTCTCCTGTTGCGAGCATTGGCAGCAACCAAAGACTCGATGTTGGGCCCCGAAATCACCGAGGTCATCCCGCGCGAGAGCTATCATTCTGCCGTGAAGGTCGTCGAATTCTACAACAAGCTCTTCCGAGGTGCTGAAGGCACTCCTTGGGGAATGTATCCTATCACCATGATTTCGGCCCACTACATTCATCAAGCCACCATCATCATCATGGCCCACTGCCTGTTGGCCATTGATGGACGATTACCTGTCGTGAGTTTCTCAAGGGAGCTCAGTGGCGATGCAGAAGGCCCAGTGGACTTTAGTGGAATCCATGAGATATCCGGGACCTGCTTGATCTTGTTGAACACTCTATCCAAGAAATGGGCCGGCATGGTGGGCATATTGGACATCTACAAAAGCCTCCAAGCAAAGGTGTTACCCATCATGATGCGCAGCGGGCTGGGTTGAAGGTCGGGCTATTCTTCGGCATGGGATCTCCAGGCCACCAACGCACTGTGTGGCAACCGAGATTTTGAGAGGGCTGGAGCCCTGGGCTGCCGGGGTAATCGTTGTGCCTATCACCCAACACAAGCTTTTCAATTCCAGCGGCAACTCCAACTCTAAGTCTAACGAATTCCAGTTGGCGGGCTACGAAAGTAACCGCATATGTCTCAATTAGGCAAGAGAGTTTACAAAAGTGAAAATGCCTGTTGGACGGCGGAAGCCTTATCGTCTATTCGCCCAACATCGACGTCGACCCGCTGGCAGAATTACTTTGCTGCAATGAGTCCGGCTGACAGCAGAAGGCGGAATTAGGGTCTGTACAGAGGGCCTTTCTGATTTAGGATCAGCCCGTCCCTGTCGCCTGAAAATCGCCCCGGCATGCGCTAATGAGCCTTCCTTCTCAGCCTCATGAATATACCCGAAGCACAAACATCGATACATCTTCAACAGGACTTTGTTGCGCGCCCCTGACATCGTCTTGATTTCCTGCTTGATCACTAGGAGGAGTTGTCAAACAAAGCATGCCGGAAAACATGAGTGAGACAAACAGGATGTCTTCACAAACTATTCTGGGGAGGCCCCGACATGTATCAGATCAAACAATCATCTGTCGAACGACAAACAATCCGACGTTGACGTCCGAAGAGCCTCTTATGTCCTCACCACCTAGGTACCCAACATATAGGTCCTCACCACTTTGGTCCTCCCTACAGAGGTCCTCGGCTTTAAAGTTCTGAATCCAAGGTTCACCTCGCCTTCCAAGCAAAGGATCAATCGGTGACGCTGAAAGGACCCCAAGATTTGCGACCAGAAATCTCTTAAAAAAGCCAGCTTTTCGCATTTCCACGTCTCTTTTCCTCCGGACTGAAACTACATTCAGAATGAAGTTCGCAACAGTCCAGGCCGACTCTACAGTTTGTGAGGCTCGTCAAGGAAGACATATAACTACAAGAAAAACAACCGCCCAAACGTCAAATATGGAGGCCAATAGAAGACTGAAAGGTTCGTGCCTATCAGGTTCGGTGGTTTCGGCAACATGATCAGCTAAAATTATGATTAGGAAGCATCATCATCAACAAATCCAGATCGACGATCACTGTCAAAATCACGTCTCCATCAAGTTCCTCACAACGAACCACAGTGTCTCCTCGCAAGCCACGTCGTCAACAGATATCAACGATACATAACAGACCACATCTTCGACCACGCAAACATCGAGATAGAGGACTTGGTGTGATGGGCAGCAAATCGGCAACGAGGAAGACAGGAACAGGGACGTTATTGCGTTTCACGATGAAGGATGGCAAAGCTGTGAAGGCGGAGGTGATTGGATGAAACGACTCCCGTCCGCCGCAGAGAACTATCGGTTGTTGGCGAGAATGTTCATAATCGGCTTGAGAGATGTTGCTGAACAATTTTGGGTGCTGTGTTGGTATACATTCAGGATTAGCAACTGGGAGATGTTGTTAGGGGAAATGAAGGATCGAAGAACCTGAGGTATGATGTACTTGTAGATGAATATATGTGCGTGGATGCACATGGATGTTGAGGAGACCGGACCAGTCAGAAATCAAGGCAACTCGGTCAATACCTACCAGTAGGTACTTTGTGGCTCTAGGATGATGTATTTAGTCGGTATTCTGGGGAAAGACTAGGCGACCAGGCCGTAGGATCAGGAGAAATCAAGCCCACCATGGTGTAGGGGCCTCACTAGCCTCTGTAGCCACCAACGGGGGCAAGCGGGGGCAGCTGTCTTTGCCGACTCCACCCTCCGAAAGGCCCTAATTAACAGATGGAGCTCGTGTCTCAAGAACCATTTTTGCAGCTTCACGTCCTTGGCAACGTTTTTCTCGATTTACTCCGTACATGGGCAGACACTGAGCTCGCCACATTTCCCAATTCTCGCCGACCATGGCGTCGTTTTTCGGCACTTTCTCGAGCTCCTCTCCCTACCACCCCAACAACAGTGATCTCCCGCTGACCATCCGCGAGGCCTTCTCTGGGATATTTGGGTCCATTTCTCTGGCGTGCTGGATCTTCCTGCTCGTCCCGCAACTGATTGAGAACTACCGCAACGGGTCCGCCGAAGCCATCTCGCTGCTATTCATCTTCGTGTGGTTCCTGGGCGACATTGCGAACCTCGCGGGCGCGCTGTGGGCGGGGCTCGTACCCGTGGTGGTTGCGATCGGTGTGTACTTTTGCATCGCGGACGGCGTCCTGATCGGGCAGTGCCTATACTACGGGATCATGAACAAGAGGAGGGAAGGCCGGGTATTGCTCCGCAGATCATCTCTGCGCGCGTCGGCCTCGAGTAGTACCGGTGGTGGTGGTGGTGGTGTGAGGTCTACTACGGCCGACGGCGAGGCAAGTGGCCCCCCTGCGCCCAGCGGCGAGCGGCCGAGGCAGGGCAGTTCGGAGGAAGAACCACTCCTCAAGCGCACCCGCACGAATAGCATGACAATCCCGGGGTCTATGGAGAGACGGCGAAGCAGTGTCAGTCTGCGGCGCCGGCGGAGCAGCTTTGCCGCCCACCACCAGGACCAGCTTGCCAAGATTCTCGAAGAGAGCGACGAGCCCGGCACAAGGCTCTGGTTCAGGAATGCGATGAGCGTGTTGGCTATTGGGGTCGTGGGCGCCGCCGGGTGGGCGTTGGCATACGAGTCTGGTGCCTGGAAGCCCTCCCCTACGTCAGACGGTTCTGGCTCAGAAGAGATGGCGCCCGGCGCGCAGATACTCGGCTATCTCAGCGCGGTGGCTTACTTGGGTGCCAGGATACCGCAGATCATCAAGAACGCAAGGGATAGGAGTTGTGAGGGTAAAGTGGTCCCCCTTCTTCCTACACAAGTCTGAGCCAAGACGGGATGTCCACTGTTGCTATTGTTGATGGATCTTATGCTGATATTCAACTCGCGCCAACTACCCGCAGGTCTCTCGCTCCTCTTCTTCATCCTGTCGCTGATGGGCAACGCTACTTACGGCGCCGGTATCCTCTGCCACTCAACCGAACACAAGTACGTCGTGAAGAACTTGCCGTGGTTGATCGGTAGTTTGGGAACAATGATCGAAGATATCACCATCTTTATACAATTCCATATGTATAAGGTACAAGAGGAGGATAACTTAGGGCCCCCAGAACATGCAGTAGTTTGAAAGGAGAAAAGGAGTCGTGTGTTGTTTTTCGATACGAGACATTGGCGAATTCGTTTCCTGAGCAGCATGGCGCAATCTACGGGTACTACGGTTCTCTGGGCACGTGGGGAATGGGCAAGGGCGGTTCGGCCATGGCATCTCGTTGGAGGACTTCTTGTCTTCAGAGAACAGAGCGACACGGCCGGGTATCATGTGGCGCAAATTCGGACAGGTAATACAATATCCAGATCGTGAGGCAGAGAGACGGGAGGCGGAAGATGTTGGGGTCCGGGGCGTGTCAGAAGAGATCTAGAGAGAATCTCGCCCTTGGATCTGAGTAAGATTTGTCTATACCAGTTGCATGCGAGTACGTACGGCTGGAGACTCGAATTCCCCGTGTCCTCGAAAGGAATTCCCAGATGTGGACAATCCCAGCTGACTCTTCGAGGTGACCTTGGGATGGTAAATCGCGATCTGTCTCGTAAGCGATGTTCTCCGAGATTCTCTCGCACGGAGGCGGGATGGAAATCTACTTGGGCGGCAGACATTTACCTCGTACTATTCGCTGCGACCTACGCTACCACAGTGCATGGATGGAGCCTGTGTGCGTGGCAGATGAAGATACGAGCCATTTTCATTTTTTTTTTTTTTTCTCTTCTCTCTTCTCGTCTCGGTAACGCATGACATTTTGAGAAGCCTTTCGCGAGCTGCATGTTTTCCCTCCTCTTCTCATCTTGCTTGTTCATGTGCGAGCTTAAGAGGAAGCATTGTTGCATTGGCAGGCAGTCGACGCGAGTGTTGGAAGCGAGAAATAGGTACGTCATCCCATGGATCATTTGTCTTGGTGCGGGATGGGATGGGATGGGATGGGATGGGCGTGCATCGTGCATAATGGCTAATGTTCGGGGCGGGAACAGGTGATGATAGACGGGTAGGTGGAGAGATGGATGGACATGGAGACAATGAGAGAAAATTGTTTGTTAGGTTCCAAGTTTGTTCGGGAGCAAGAAACTGAGGCACTGCAGGGGCTAAAGGGCCCTGTGATTGGCGTAGACCCGCCCAACCTGGCTCCTGCGCCGGGGCAGTGCGCCAATTAATGTCCGCACCATGCCTCCTTCGGGGCTGCTACTGGCCTGGCTCTGGGCTCCCACTCGGCTCCTCTAGACTCCCCTAAGCTCCCGGGGGGCACCCCTGTGTGTTTCTGCTCTTTTCGCCCGGCACAGTACAACTGCAACCCTCTCAGTTGCTTCTACCAGTACATGCGCTCTCTCTCCAGATTCATTCCTTCATTCTCGCGGTTACTCACTTAATACTTTGTCTCTTGCTCACACCTGACACTTTCCACTTTTCTCTTTCCCATTTTTCCGCTTTCTCACTCATCAGGCTCATCACTCACTTCAAGACCACTCCCCTCAAATTTTCCCTCGCTTTGTTCCCCTTTGTCTTATTAGCCATCTCTTTTTTTTGAACACACCTTACCGTACTCCGTACCAAGCGTCAAAACAAAGGCTTGTCTCCATTTGCCTTCTCGAATCGAAGGTCAAGAGGGCCTTACATACACGTGCCCACCGTTTCTCGATCATTGCCGCAGTCGGGTCCTTTGTCCGCGACCTTGACGCGCCCTCGAGTAAAATATCCGCACACCTTAGACACTCTGATACGCTCTTTGCGCCGTTTAAGACTTCCCAGGGTGTAGTCTCGATTGCTTCAACATCTTCCTTCCATTACCCACCTCGAATCCGAGTCTCTCCCTCTTCGTCGACCCCTCTCAAGATGCGGTCTCTCACCGTACTCCTTTTCAGCTTGCTCTGTGCATCTGGCGTCTCAGCCGATCCTCTAGACGATGCTATCGCTCTCTTCAAGCGTCAAAATGTACCGCTGTCTACTGGCGGTTCCGACTCTAGCAGTTCCAGTACATCCCCGACTACCTCTCCCACCACCAGCGATGGCGACTCAACTACTTCTGTTACTGTTACAAGCGATACCACCTCTTCGAGCACCGAGACCACGTCGTCCACAATCACTCTTCCCCCAACCACATCTTCCTCAGTGACTGTCGTGACGACGACATCTACCCGTACGCCTTCCTCGAGTTCCTCCGACACCAGCTCCTCAGACCAATCCACCTCTACGGAGACGAGCACCTTCACCCCTTCGAGGACTTTGATCACCACAAGTTCGCTTCAAGAGGTCATTACTACAATCACAAGTGTTAGTGCAGGAAGCACCGTGCATCTTACCAGTACAAGCAGCAGCCTTGTCCCGGTTACCACCAGTGTTGATCCTGCTTCCCTGACAAATGGAGGCGGCAAAGGCGGCAGTTCCGGCCTCAGCGATACCGCCAAGGCCACCATAGGAGGAGTTGTGGGCGGTGTTGGTGGTGCGTTGTTGCTTGCCGGATTGGCATACACTGCCTGGAGGATTTGGGGCAAGAAGAAGAACCTTCACGACGACGATCTGTACGACCCCAACCTCAACCAAGACAAGCTCAGCGGCACCACGGGATCTGACTCCACGCCCTTCCGTTCCACGTTGGATCAATACCATTCCCCTGGGCCTGTCAACACCGCGTCAAACTTTTAAACAAGCTAGTCCACGGACCAACCCATTGACGATCGTTACGACAGTACTTTGTCTTCAACTTTAAGCGAGATAGAAGCACCATCGGTGGATCTTTCTCCAATCATCAAAATACATGAAATCAATGCCACATCCGGATCTAGCCGGAAAGGCAAAGGCAGTTTACAGTGAGAGATGCTGCTTCCAATCCATTAGGGGGCCTAATTCGTGCTGGCTAGCACTTATTTTCAGGAATATCCTATCTTCGAAGTTGTACATAGGATATGGAAAAACGGGGCTAGGCGTGGTGCGAGGCATTGGCTAGCTAGAATCCCAAATTTCCATTTTGTCATGTACCATCTTTGACCGCTCAATGGCTTCATCGTTGACTCGCGTGACTTGAAGATATGCAGAAGTCTGAGCGTCGTACCTGCATGAAGAGAAAATACGAAAACTTGGACGGTTAAAACCGGACTCTCGCATTCGACGATCCTAACCATCCCATTATTCCACATACGGCTAGTCTTCCAATAATAACGTAGCTCTCAAACACGGTCGCGCTCACGCGTCATTTGTCTCGAGTCGCCGCTAGGTCCGTTACAGGGAACAACCTCTCATACCTCGTAACAGACACAACTCGGACTCTTGTGGAAGTCCGTTATTCTTGTCACTCTGATTCTCTGGACGTCCATCCACCACCTGGACTACGACACCCCACGCGCAGAGAGAAGGAAGCAAGAAACCACGAAAGAGGGGAGGATGTTCTTTCTTTCTTCCCCACCGCCGCAACCAAGTCCGTTCTGTGCCTCAACCACTCAACAGTCCCGCCGCCCAAGTTTCTCAAACTCCCACACTCACGGCAACACCTACAGGCGGGCTTACGCTAGGGTTTACTACGCTCCGCACTCTCCCTCGCCCCTGCGGACGACGAGGAATGCGAACCTGATGCCTTCGCCTCCGCAGGGTAATGGGCTCAAGGGCAATCATGTCAATAGTCTGTTGAGTTCGTCGCCACTTAGGAGTGGTCTGTCGGAGCATCATGATGAGAACCGAATGGAGAGCGAGAATGAAAAAGAAATTGACGTCTCGACGGGCTTTGGATTTCACACCAATGTACAAGAGACGCCCGCTGGGAAGACGAACCACAACTTCGGAGCACATGGATGGGATGGGCAGCCGTCATTGATCACGCCGCCTGATTCAGGCTCGAATCAGCACTTCGACTCAAACGCATTCCCGGACGAACAATTGATTTCCGCGACTTCCCCGTCAATGCTCTCATTCTCCAATCCTTCCCCTCTAACCACCTCCACTGTCTCAACTCTTCACCAGCCTTCACAATGGGAACTGCGCTCTCGATCCTCGAGTCCATCATCCCTTCTAACGAGCCAAACCACCAGGAGTCGAGAACAAAGGAAGTCGAAATTTCTCGATCGCATTCGACGAAGGCGGGATGATGAGAGATCTGTAGAAGTCGAGGAGCAGGTGTTGAGAATGGATTTTGTCAAAGAAAGGAGGGGATGGGAGGCGGAAATGGCACGGAGGGCCGCAGTGGAGGCTATGCAACAGGAGGAAATAGAGAACGATGACGACAATGAAGAAGAACAGGAGCTTAGCCCAACTCAAGAATACGAGTTAGACACTGAGGTGGATAAGTTAGTGAGGCAGTATGAGCGAGAGAATATGCACGGCGTGAGGGATGATGAATTTATGTTTGAAGACGCCGAGGATGAAGAATATGAGCGGCTGTTCAGAGAGATGGAGATCCTCTCACAGCAGTCACACTCTCAGTCGGAAAATCAGCCTGCGTCTCAACTGCTGCAACAAGAGCACGAACAAGGGCAGGCTCAACAGGCCCAGCACACGAAGCGGACTTCTTTTTTGGGCCGTCCTCCCTCTCAGCAACCACAACAACATGGGAAAGCAGGTAATGATGAAACTATGGACTTGTCTTGATTATCGTTAAGATTTTTGTGGGAGTTGTGTGGTACACTGACATGGGTAAAAGAGGCCACTGTCGTCCCATGAGTCGTCGCTGGTCCAAGGAGGGATGCTATACAATGCAATACAATGGGACGGTATAGCAGACAGACATGTGCAGGGCGGTCAGTGATCTGTACAAAGCATTCGGAGAGAACAACAATTTGGTATTCTTATACGTCCGGGACATACACACAGGGTGGAGGACTCGAGCTCTCTCGCGAGTCAAGCTATTCAGAGATTGGACGCCAGGAAATTGCCGTCGAATATGTACCTACTCAGCTGGGTACGAAGGCAGGCCCGTCAATGGCGGACCCCTCGATATCAACACTGGAACGCAAAGACGAACTAAACAAGTTGGTCTGGCTGTCTGCTCTCGCGCGTGAAGTCATCACGCACTTTCTCTCTTGATGTCTCGATCCCTCGCAACGCGTGGAATCCCTTGTGATGTGATCTGGTGTAGCGAGGTGAAATCTATCCGTCGAATGCGGTGCTCGTTCAAATCCTGGCACCAGATTTTCGTATATATGTAGGTTTGTATGTGTGGTATCACGGTCATTACGGAGGATTGCTGCAGCGCTCGGTCGCGAAGCAACTCAACCCAAGTGGCCTTCTCCCTGCGCGTGCGCTGCGCCATTGCCTTCTACATAGCCAGCTAGGCCACAGGTCATCCACCAGGGGTCTCTCAGCCCATTTCGGCCCAGTCCCCTACTCACTGCGTCGGACACCCGTCGTCGAGGCCCTCGGCACCCTCACCTCCCATTAGGCCACCCAAGCCCGGGAGGGGATTAGCGACCAGGTCATCAGGGGGAGCTCCTTCGTTCTGCATCTCCTGCATCTTCTCCCAGATGAACTCACGACACTGGGGATCGTCGTCGCTGTACGTCGCCTCCTCAAATTTGGCGACGATGTCGCGCACGATGACGCTCTGGCGCAAGAAGCGTGCGTGTTCGGCCTGCGCGAGTCGAGGTGGCTGGTTCGACTGCAGGTAGTCGGGGAACTTCTGCGAGAGCTCCTTCATAGGCTCGTACAGCATGTCCTTGTTGGTCAGCTGCTCCATCATCCCCAAAAACATCTTGGACAGTTCGCTGTCCGACTGCGAGCCGGACTCGGACTCTAGCGCCCGCAGCATCTCGGCCAGCATGTCTTCTTCCGATTTCTGCCGCGATGATTTCGCCGTCGCCGAAGTTGCCGCCGCCGAGGACGATTCCATCCGCGCCATCGTCTTGCGGATCGTGTCTTCGAATGATGTGGATGGTTGTTTCGTTGAAGCCGTCGCCGACGATGGGGGTGATGCTGCTGGTGCTCGTGAGGCCTCGGGGCTCTGCGACTTGGATTTGGACTTCGACCTGGACTCGCTCTCCCTCCTCGATGCTTCGGCGTGCGCCATATCACCGACTTGCCTGCCGATGTCCTCGCCCAAGATGGCCTTCAGGAAGTCCTCCGGCTTCACCCCCTCGGCCTCCATTTTCTGCGTGAACTCCTCCAGTTCTCGCCCCATCTTTGAGATGTCCTCCGGGGTTGCGGCGCTGGCCGCTGGATCGAGAGACATCTTGGACATGACGTCGGACATTTCAGCCGTGAGCCGCGCCACGAATTCATCCTCGGTTTCCCAGTCATGAGGACCAGAGGGGATGGGCAGGTCTGGTGGGAGGGCTGATTTCTCGGTGGGCGGTCTGCCCGGGCCGGAGGATAAAGGTGCGGGTTCTGAAGGTTGAGATTTTGACTGTTGTAGGGTGGTAGCTGCGGAGAACTGGTCGAGGACATCTAATGACTCGGCACATCAGTATTGGGAGTTTTTGGTTGCGGAGAGAAAAAAGAAAAGAGCTGCGTGTTGTGTGCACCTACCATCGAGGTCGTCAAAGTCTGGATCTGAATCCTCTTCGATTGCTGCTTCGGGAGGCTTTTCAGTCGACGATCCCGGTATGGAAGAGGTTGCTTGCGACTTGGAATCTGTGGGCTGAGGAGGTTCAGCCATTTCTATAACGGCTATCCCAGCCAAGTCTATACAGTCGACTGCACTTCGTCTGTCAATGGAAAGGTCGAGGTTGGCGTTTCTGTGTCCGTTCTCTTGACTCAGAGCTGCTGTGGCAGATATTGGTTGAGAGGCGCTTGGAGGCGCTTCAGATGGCCGTTGAAGTTGGAATTGTTGGGAAATGTACCGAGTATCCACGGTGAGAAGCAGAACACAATCGATATTAATTTTCTGAAGGACGAGTGTTATGCCGGTGGTGAGATTGGAACAGAGCAAGTGGATTTGTCTTCGAGCCCCGCAAACCGAGGTATGTGGTTTTGTAGTCGCCGAGTTGCATGACGGATGAAGGCAGCTGACAGCGCCTCCGGCTATTAGGGATGTTTGACACAGTATCTAGTACTTGGGTATTTAGCCACTGTGGTCGAAAGACTCGTGTCGGCTAGCTGCCATATTTGGTAATGTATTATTATATCTCTAATACTAGCCTGTACTAGATACCAGCGCCCCATAGCCTCTGACTTCTCTCCCACATATTTGGCCATCGACATGCGTTTTCTTCCACCCTCAACCAAGCGATCCTAGTGCTCCAGCCAACACTGATTAAATGATAGCTATTCAGCTATCCATCCTGCTACCATTGCCATCTCGAGCCCTCAACAACGATGGCTAAAAAGAAACTCGCCAGTTTTTCCCCCTAGCGACCTCCCCTCTCGGGCACGACCATCACGAAAAGCCCACCATACCAACCTAGTCATAAGATTTGGTCTCGGGACCACAAGGCCACAACGAAATCGATACGATCCGCATGTATTCCGTACTATGCTTAGCTTAAGGTTGCGAAGGTAACATGGCCATGGCCATGGTCAGGCGTCCATCTTTGAATGAACGTCGATGCAGTCGTTTGATGGTGTCGCCACCAGAGCGCTACATAGAACCTAATCCGGACTAGCTTCAAAAGCAATGGCAGCTCGGCAGCTTGAAAATCACAATTCCTTTCCAAGCTTCATGTTTGATGCCACTCTTCAGCCTGCCTAGTACAGTGGATCTTGCGACTTATAAATGCTTGGTAGTCTCTCCGACGTTAGCGAACGAGGCTGTGATCATATAGCCAACTACGTCAGCCAAAGACTATAGTTGCAGCTCGAGATATATATACTCTTCCCAGCCATGGCCTCGAAGATGAATGTGTCCACAAGTATTTCAATCAGGTCCTATGACAATGCATTTTGCTCCACACACTCTCCTTCTCATCACAGCCTCTGCAACAGGCGTCCTCTGCGACTTCCTGGGACCAACCTATCCAACTCCCACGAATCTCGCGGGTAACGGCAGCCATGTCTCCGCTGCCTGGAAGAATCTCAGTTCGACTCTCGATGGATTCATCAGTGATGCAAGCACCAATTTGACGAGCCCTGCTGGATTGAAGAACCTCACATTCTCGGTGGGAATGTTCTCAATCCACGACCCTTTCGCGGCCAGGTCGTTGCAGTTTCACCACACATCCAATGAGATCGCCAATTCGTCTGCTGGCGTGAAGAAGGTTGACGGAAACAGCATATACCGTGTCGCCAGCGTCACCAAGCTTTTCACAACTTTTGCGGCCATGCTTGATCTGGAAGCTAGTGACTGGGACCGTCCTATCACCGACTTTGTTCCAACGCTTGCAGCATATGCGGCAGCCAATCCAGCAGAGAATGACTTTGTGGATACCGTCGCATGGAACAAGGTCACACTTGCTGCTCTCGCCAACCAAGTAGCAGGCAATCCGAGAGATGTCTCACCCTACGACCCTGGCGACTTCCTGTTGCTAGATGGCGCCAATGAGCTGGTAAACTCGTTCGGATTGCCACCCCTCAATCAGAGTGATCCAGTAGCGGTCCCTCCATGTTTGGTCTCTGCGCTATCAGGGAACCTGTCTTGTTCTGGCAATGAATATGCAATTGGCGCCGAGGCGCGACCACCGTTATTCCTTCCTTGGACAAGTCCTGCATATACAGACTACGGATTTATGCTGCTTGGACTTGCAATAGCGAATATTACCGGCACCTCCATTCACGGCGTTTATCGTCAAAGCATCTTCAGTCCACTGGGAATGACTTCCTCATTCTCAAGCGTCCCCGATGCATCCAATTATAGCCAATACGTCATCCCTGGAAATGTCACCACAGCAGCATTGACAGCGCCTGGCGCTCCCGAGCTCACCATTCCTTCCGGTGGGATATTTTCTACGACGAACGACCTTGCAAAGTTCGGCACCGCCATTCTCAACGGAACTCTCCTTGACCCTGATCAGACACGCAAATGGATGAAGCCCGTCTCGCACACTGCCATGTTCGAATACTCAGTGGGGAGACCATGGGAAATATACCGGTACACACATCCTCAGTCCGGACTTGTCACCGACCTCTACACCAAGCTGGGCGACTCTGGCTACTACGGCGGATACATAGTCCTCATCCCAGACTTTGATGCGGGCTTCAGTATCATTGGGGCGAGCTCATTGAAAGAGCGATCTCCTTTGACTGCTTTGCTAGCGGACCTTGTCACTGAGAGCATGCTGCCTGCATTGACAGTTCAGGCTGAAGTTGAAGCGAGGAAAAGTTTTGTGGGCACGTATACCGCAGAGGATGATGGCCTCAACAGCACAGTGACCTTGACCACCGATCCACAGGGGAAGCCCGGTTTGGTGATCACCCATTTTGTCAGCAACGGCACGGATGTCCTGCGCAGTGGAGTGATCGGTGAGAGTCCTGTAAGACTCTTACCATCGATATCTGATCGACCTCATGGACGAATGGCATTCAGGACCTCGTCATATCAGGTTCCTGCAGGCGGACTGTTTTCTCGGCAATATAATGCCAATCTGGACTGGCTGACTGGTGATTCGCCAACATATGGCGGCATTGGTATAGGGCTTTTCGTATTTGATCTCGATGCTAGTGGCAACGCTACAGCGGTCAGCCCTGCTGCTTGGAGAGTGAGGCTTGTCAAGACTTCTTGAGTTCTCCTCGGAGATGGTATTGCCATCTTGCACCCGCCGACTCCTACCTGTGCGGCTGTGGGCTGGACGAACTTCAGCAAGCAAAAACGCAGTTCTTCCAAAAACTAGCCTTCCTTCCCCCAAACTCGTATCTGATGGACTCTACTTAATACACTGCTTCGCAAACTCTATGAGAAGATATCCACGTTTCCATGACCAGTGTTTCGCGATACTGGTCCCTTTCATCCAATGCTTCCGGGGAGCAGGCGTACTAAATCTGGCATTATTTCCGCCTTTGTCTTCACAAGGATGCGGGTCACCAACTGAGAGCCTTAGGGCAGTGCGATGAATTAGACCAGCAGGGAAACCCCTAGTCGATTTTCCTAGTCACCAATGTAAATATCGGCTGTTCGGGATCAGAACCAAGCTAAAAAGGAAACCCCGATGCCTAACGGCTGGCCTGTTAATCTGGATGATGTGCAGAGAGGATCTCTGCCTGCTTGGTTGAAGTCCCTGGCGCTTGACTAGGCTGTGCAATGCTCTGCTTTGTGTGCTTCAAATGAGCATTTGACCAATCCATGGCCCTCTTTCCCGTCGGAAATCCACTGTCAGACCCTTATACGAAGACCGTCCAACCGCCCTTCACTTACTCCTTTTAACAAACCGTATTCTCTCGTGTTGCCCTAATGGTTGCACTACAGGATGCCGGGTGTTCCCTCAGGACGAGGCTGTGATGCCTGTCGCCAGCAAAAGAAAAAGGTACAATCGCCAATGCGTGTTCGCTCCTGGTGTCTTACCCCCGTTCTAACAACAGTTTACCACGCAGTGTGATTCCACCATCTCCCCGTGTCCTCGATGCAGACGCTTAAGTATTCGCTGCGTCGGCCTGGGCCAACGTCGGTACAAGTTTGTGTCTGATGATAGAGCCCCGACGCTGGCCGACAGTGCTGTTCTCCGCCCGAAGGAACCTGGAACTGGGTCCCATGCGCACTATGCCCCACCTTTTAATGCGGTCATATTAACTCGCATCCCGCCTAACGATACCACTCAGCTTGTGAATGCTTTCACGAACAAGATAAAACCCACGGTCGGCGTCCAGTACAACCTGGCCTGGACTTACGGGGACTACCTCAGCTATGTTCCAGCTCGCCTTGGCGCGAACGAGGTTCTAGATAGTGCCACGGACACTTTTTTGGCCGCCGTTGCGACATTATCAGATCCCCTCGGTGCTCGCAGCAACCATGTCCTGCTCGAAAAGTACGGACGGACTTTGGCCAGTCTAAGAAAGTGTTTAGATGACCCCATCAAGGCGAAAACCTCGGAAACACTGTGCGCCATCCTGTTCCTGTGGAATTGCCAAGTGAGTTTGCCGTGCCCTGGCACCCAGGGTCCTATTTGTTGCTGATGGCTGTCACCGAAGCAGTTCATATGGCAGTCGAATGGACCCATCACCACACATGCGGACGGGGTTGCCCAGATCCTCAGATTGAGAGGCTGTGCCGAGAAGTACCAGGACCCATTTGAATCGAACTTACTGCTCTCGCTTCGTGCCGTTGTGGTAAGTGATCGATAGGCAAGGAAAAAGCCAATCATTCGCTTACTTTAACTCGTCCAGCTCTTTGACTCCCTATTCAATGGCCGGATCTATTTCAGTGACCAAGAGTGGGTTGCCATGTTTGACAACCAACTTCATGAACTCAGTCCTGAAGGACAAGCAGTACAGTGCTTGACTCGCGTACCGAACCTGATGCGACGGAGCAGGGCTGCGCTGATGGGAGATCTATATCATCGGGATGAACTTCCCGACTTGCAAGAACAGGCACATAGGCTTCGCGCAGATCTCGAGCCCGCTCTGTCCAAGGTTCGTCGGCGATGGCTTCAAAACTCGACAAACTCAGATACTCTTGTCCCAGGGAAGCCTCAATTGGCCGGCCTGTGGCATTGCCACTTCCTGCGAACATACTGCCTCGGTCTCGCTATTGCCATTTTCATTAACGAGGCACGGCTTGCCTTGTGCTTGGACGCGCCTGATATTGTGCAGGAGTCACACGAATTTGCACTAGAAATCCTGAATTTGGCCCGGATGGCAGCCCAATACCGCCCACTGGGTGCATCTGCTGTAAGCATATGTCTTCTAGCCGCAGAGCTTGGGGCAGAAGACGACGAGACCAAAACAGCCGTAAAGAGATTGCGCGTCGAGTATGCCCGCGATTTTCATGGAGTCAAAGAAGTGGAGGACTGCCAGGGCTTGCAATTGATCTGTGGCCGTGAGTGGTCTCGATTGCTCGCTCGGGACATAGTGTAACAAAATTTGCGGAGACCACGGCCCACGAATCCATCGAGCAGCCTTGCAAATAGATACTAGCCGCCAGACCATACTTTCTCATAGGCAGTAGTACCATTCATACAGCCTGCAAAAGAGTACCCTACGAGAAGTCATTCTCAGACATCCAATGAGTAGTCATGTAGGATCGTACACACTGGCCCTTCCGGAGCCGGTTTGGGACGTCTGTTTCACGGCCATTGAAACCGCATCTTATGAAATACTTGACGTTGAGGTTGGGGCATTGACAGCTTCCAAGCAGTGTATCGCTGGCACCGGATACTGGGCCGAGGTCATTGAAGGTCTCTTACCAGCCATGGGAAAGCCGCCCTCGCCGCGTCTTGGTTGCCGGGACTAGCGCAGAAGCGGCATGATCAACAACACTAACTTTTTAAGTACAAGGAGACTCACAAATCTTATTACCCATTATTGGACCTACCTATTCAAGATTATAGCTGGCCGCTACAAGGGCCATATATCCGGAAAGCCAATTGCTGTGATGTATTGTCTGTTGCTGCGGGTGGCCACAGGGCGGCATGACCACCGTCCCCATCCGGGGGGTGAGCTTTGAGCCGTTTTCCATATTGATACTTGTTCTCTTGGGGCTTCTCATCAGATGAAAATCCACTCCAATTCACCATTTACCCAACGACATATGAGGCGTCTCCCATTCCGCCTGGGCACCTGCTCCCCTGCAAGGGCTTGCGCGTCAAAAAGGAGCCCCGGGAAGAGTGATTGGCAACGACGACACTTTTCCAGCCTCAAATCTGAGAGCGATGACCCCCTGAGAATCCTCTTCTGTGGCACCGATCGCTTCAGCGTGGCCTCGTTGGAAGCTCTCGACAGATACTCCAAGACACCCGAGAGTAACATCCTGTCCATTGATGTCGTGACGAAGACCGACAAGAGAGTCGGCCGCGGCCGCAAGCTCGTCAAGCCGCCAGCCATCAAAACCGCAGCACAGGACCTGGGCCTCCCCATCCACCAGATCGATACTTTCACGGGTTGGAGCCCGCCTGTGTTCAGCGACGCCGATGATCGGTCTTGCAACCTGATTGTTGCCGTCTCTTTCGGGCTGTTGATCCCGCCTCGCATTCTGCAGACCGCAAAATATGGCGGTCTGAACGTCCATCCCTCCATGCTTCCAGACCTACGGGGCCCGGCGCCTATTCAATGGGCTATCATCACCGGACGGCGAAGAACCGGCGTGTCGCTGCAGACTCTTCACCCTACGCGGTTTGATGAAGGGATCGTCCTGGACCAGACGGCACGTCCAGGACTAGATATACCCGAACCAGACCAAATCACAGCCGAAGAACTCACGAGCTATCTGGCACCTATAGGTGCTAAAATGTTGGTCGATGCGATCCGGAATCGCTTGTATATTCCGCCGTACAATGCCATCCAGTTGAGCAGTGTCCCGGGTGCAGAGTTAACACACGCCCCAAAAGTCACGAACGACATTTGCGCCATTGACTTTGAGGCGCTCACGAAATCTGAGGTTCTACGGCGAAACCGTGCGCTTCAATCCCTCCATAGCTTTGCGAGACTCGGTTCTGAGCAGAATCAGGTGTTTCGTATCAATTTCGGAGCGGACATGAGGGATATGAGGGATGGGGACATTCCAGAAGAAGTTAGAGCCGTAGCGGGATCCATTCCCGCTGGTGTCCCCTACGCAATTGTTGCGGCGCACGAGAATGTTAACGAGAGTTCGGAACCTTTGATCGTCAACGCGCTGTCGGACGAGAATGGAGAAAATTGTCATGTTGTCATTCCGACAATCACTGTCTCGTCGAGGGCAAAAGGCCCAGGTGCAGGAGCGGCCGCTCGCGCAAAATTCTTTTCAATGCCCGCGGTCTTTGGCCAGTATAAGTTGTATCGCTTCTCCCACCCTGTCTCTGGAATACCGGGCCATTCGTGGAAATGAATGACAACACCACGCGGGCTTGATCCAGTTGGTCTATCGGATGACAAGTCCAGAATCTTATCGTCGTCAGCGACTTCCTTTTGCGAGAAGAACTCACGATCCGGAACTTACCAACGACAATCTGCTGGCCTGTGATCGACGTGTTCTTCGCAAGTGAGATATAGGCATCTGCACAATCGTCTAGCAGAGTCTCAACAGGTTGTTAGTCAGGCAGATGCATTTTCTGACACAGAAACACACCTCTTGCTTCAGAGCAGCGGCGTTCTTCACAGTCTTAATGCGCTCATCGCTATACCTCAGACCCTATCAAAGGCGTCAATACTATTTCTTGTCCACTCCGCAAGACAAGTCGAGGAAGACCAACCCATTCCGTAAGAAGAAGACCTGGAAGAACGGCATTTATGCGGATCTTTGGACCTTGAGTGGTGGCAAGGCATTTCATCAAATGGAGGCCCGCAGCCTTGGTAACCGAATATCCCATACTACTTCCGGCGCAGCTTATGCCCTACCGAAAGTTCAACACACAGGTCTCGAGTGAGTGATGATCAACTTACTGCGACAGATGATGAGATGATGAAAACTCCGCCATCGGGATTCTTGTTGAATATGGGAGCTGCTTCCTGTAGCAACACCAGATGGGACATGACGTTGGTGGCCCAACACTAGCGCAGTCAGCAAGAGATTCAAACCACGGACTATCTGTCCCCATACCTTGTTCCATTCATCATGGCTCATGTCATTGATGTCTCCGAAGTTGGTGAACCTGGTCCAGCCAGCATTATTGATGATGATGTCGAGTCCTCCCAGCTGCTGGACACTTTCTTTAACCAATCGAACAGTGTCCTCGACGACTCCGATGTCCTAGTCCTTCACTTGTCAGAGAGGGCGCCCTTTTGCGGCTTTTTGCAGGTAGCCGAGCATCCTCACTGCCTGGATTACAACTGCCTTGACTCCCAGTCCTTCACACTTCTCGGCGACCTGATCGGCTCTATCTTTGCTGCTGACATAGTTTACCACAATATTGGAACCTTCTGCTGCAAACTTCTCACAAATCAGCGCCCCGAGGCCTCTAACGTCTTTCAGTTAGTAAACTGCATCTAGCATTCTCGGGTACTGGTTGAGCACTTGCCTGGATCCTCCTGTTACCAGGATATTGCGGCCTTTGAGAGAGTACGGCATGTTGATGGGAGACAATGGCTGGCTTCTTGGGACAGGTTCGATCTTGGGCTCTGATAGCAAAGTCAACCTTCCAACTTTGGGGGAGGAAATAAGCATCTTATAGAAGACATGTTATTAATCCGGCTGTTGATTGATTATGCGGGGCCGTCAAAATCGAGGCAAAGAATACCGCGCTGTGGTACCTCTCCCCACACTAGAGAGAACGAATCCCGTCAAGGACGGATTCAAAAGACCGCGATTTGGCCGTCCATTGCCGCGGCTGTCGAATGAATCCTGTAGCGGGACGGAGTATATCCACTTTAATCCGAAGAGCCTTGCAGGTTTCTCGCCGCCGCTTGAGATAATGTGATAAAGCCGCCGACGCCACCAACGTCGAACGATACACCTTACACGCCATTTATTGAGGCTTTGTAGGCATGGGGAGATGTCGGGGCTGTTCACAGGATGATTGTAACAGCCTTGAGAACTGTGTGTAGACAGGATGTGCACGTGCACAGAGAGAGAGAGATTCATTAAAACACAAAAGACTGTGCCAGATGAACGAGGTGCAGGCAAGTATTATTGTGTGCAGTTTCTGTGAGTAGCACTGCTCCTTCCAATGAATCATGTTGCCTGCTTTCCTGCCTGCCTGCGGTGCACAAGGACGGACCTGCCGTGGTCATGGTCATGGCCGTCGTTTCTGCTGCCATCTATTCATCCCTCAGCCCACTGCAGCGTCATGAAAGACGTCCTTGTCCTGCACTGTTCCCAAACTTCCATTGGGCCCTCAGCCCACCTCTTCTACTGACTTTGTTCTCCCTCTCCCTTGTCTCGCTCCCGTTCAAGACCCAAAGGGCAAGCGTGGCCACAGAGATGATGATCATCTCGTGAGAAACTGGTTACATTGTTGAGCCAGCATGGTTTCCCACACGCGATCCCGGAGCAAAGGCTCGTTCTCTATATTCTCCTTTGACACTATCCGATCTTTCAGTCGTGCTGGTTCTCGACAAGGTGGGATATCCCCCAGTTTTGTATGGTGTCTGTCTGACCTGTCGTTTCAGCGTCCCGGATCCCGTCAAAGGACGAACTGCGCGATCGAACAGAATCTAGTCTCTCTCATCGATGTGACCCCAATAATCAACCACTAGCCTCACCCGAACCGACTCCCCCAAGCCACATTGTGCAGAAATGCGTCGAGTCGGCGTCAAAATCAACACAAGGACCGGGCAATCGTGATGAAAGTGAACCATCTCAGGGAGAAATAGAGCCAGCTGAATTCCATAGCACACGTCGCCGAGCACATCGGCTGCGTCCCAAGTCATGGCTGCCCTTTTCCCGTTTATCCTCCCAAAGTCCATATCCTCGCAGTGTGTCCACTCAACTGCCAAAGACCGCTAGTACTTCCACGGTTGCTCGAAGTGTCATCTCTGCTCCCGTGCTCACTAGTACCACCAACGTCTCCGTGGCTCGTGCTGAAAGAGTCCATTGTGGAGAAATGTCTGACGCGACTTTCGCTCAATCCACATGGAACTCGCAAATTGGCTGGGTTGCAAGCAACGACCAGGCCGCTGGAGAATCGCCCCGTGACAGAAGCAGTGAGGCATTGGCCTCTCACGGACCTCTTGGTGAAGGACGTGGTCAGCCCACCAATCTGACAGCGTTGAAAAGAGGTCGAATTCTGCGGTTGAGGAACGCCTTCAGGGGTAAGATCCGGAATGGAACTTTACGTCCACAAGACACAACTGCACAATCAAAGCGAGAGCGAGAGACATCTGGAGACGTAGAAGGAAATGAAGGCCCGGCCTCGAGCAGAGATTTATCACATCGTCGCGCAGAGACTTTGAACCTCTGCAGAGGCAAGATCAAAGGACTGACAGGCAGTGACCACATACGGCGCAAGTGTGTGAACACCACCAAAGGTGCAACAGAGCTAACAGGAGACTCGCCTCTTCTCGGCGACGACATCATTGACGTTCCCACGACAGATCTGGCTACCGAAAGCAGCGACAATGAGTCGGCCTTTGGATCACTCACCCGATCATTTGCCAGCGCGGTTGACAGACTTGACCTTTACTCGAATCTGCCACACAACATACCCTTCCTCAGGTCAAGGTCGTCCTTCTTCAATCCCAAGAAGAGGGAGAAGAGTGGCGGCGATCGAGATGAGGTGAGACGGCAATTCCCTCCCATTTCGCCTTCCAAGCCCGCGCCTCCTGTCGCTCAGTCGATAGTTGCGTCGTCTCGAACAGATCTCTCAAGGAATTTCGCCCCTGCAAGCAATCCCCAAAAGCTACACCCAGCACCGCGCCCTGTCGGACCACCTATTTCGGAGGCACAAGACTTCAAACCCAACCAGGAGGACCTTGCTTCTCGACAACCTCCTGTTGCTCCATTGGTGTTCTTGGCCGAAAAGAATTCCTATGTGCCCGCAGCGCCGGTAGCTGGATATCCAAGAGGCGTCAATCCATTGCATATGCATCCGCCTGGAGCTATGGCTGTTGCGCCCTCAGGCCCGTATCAAGCAGCACAGGCGCTGCCAGTTGATCGTGGTGCTCTTTGTAATTCCCCACGACGGTACACAACGACTCCCAACAGCGGTCGTGAAGATTCGGACACGGGTTCACTCGAAGACGCTCCGATCTATTCTCCTTCCCTAGGAGACCTTAGCCAGTATGCCCGAGACACGCCCCGATCAACAAAAGCCGTCCCCAACGAAGCTAGCAGAGAACAGATTGAGAACGCAGCCCCCATGCCAAACCCGGTCAAGGACGATCTTCCGGCCAAAGGACAATCTGGTCCATTGAAGAAGAGCGGGAGTGGCTTTGGATTGTTCTCGAGATCTAAGCACGAAAATACCTCACCAATGGCAAACGGTAATGGAGCTCAGGGCGAACCACCATTGTACCAACGTGATGCCAATCAGCAGGGCAATACTCCCAGCAGCACAGGAAAGATGGTGAAGAAAAGTAAGAGTCTGCATTTTGGAGGACTTTTTAAGAGGAAGGATCCATCTGATCTAGTGCCCGCGATGGGATCGTCGCCGTTCCAGCCAGCGACTCCGTCACCGCTTCGAAAGGTGATGCGCTATGGCAGTCAATCGACCAAAGGTGGTGACAATTCTCCTACAACACAGTCGGCGAAGAAATAAAGTGGTCAACCCAAGTGGATAACGATTGAATGAAGGAACAGGGCCCGGGAAAAATAGCCCAGCCCAACAGATGCGAGACAGAAGGCGCAGAGCGGGTCCACAATGAAATTGGCGAGGACCGTTTAGCATGGGTATTTGATACCTTGCATCTAGTACTTTGGACGAGGATTGAGCAAATGTCACTGCAGGCGGCAGAGACGGCGGCCCAGGATTGGCGGTGTAGAGTGAAGGGGATGCGTCAAACTGCAGAGTCACCGAAGAATGAGTGGCGTGGCACCTACCTATGTTCGAGAAGACGGCTTAGGTACTTGTACTACTCCAGAGAGATGAGGTTTTTGCCGGGAAACGGAGAACATGAACTATGGAGAAGATCGACACAGGAGCAGCGTTGGTTCCATGCATGGATCTGCGTATCTCTGCTCCGCGGGTTTCAGTCCGTACTTCGCTCTCATCGCAACAACGATATCGGCCGCCTACCAGCCAAACAGGAAGAGGAAGAGGGCAAAGTACGAGATAATCAATCTGGCGGGTCCTCTGGCCAGTCAAACTCACAGGCAAGGGATGGACTCTTTGCCCCAGAGTGTCAGTGGTCGGTCCAACCCTGCATCTGCACCAGCTCGAGGCGGAATAGGCATCAACAACCCAATGATCAGTGATTACATTATCTTTTTGTTTTATTCTTTGCGCTGTGCAACTTGGCCCAGTGGCTAGATTGGCCCATCTGTTTGCCTGGTTTGCTTGATGAGCTTGATCGTTCGATAAGTGCCTGGAGCGCTTGGTATGCCCTAGCTTTGGCGGTTAGGTGGGCAGATCTGTGGCCTGTCGTTGGCTTCTATTTGGGCCACTAAGCATCGCTTTTACGCCTGTGCTCACTAATTATTACCCGGTACTGCAGGGAGTTCTCGCCCTCTCCCCGGTTGGAGCCTCACTAGCTACGCGTAGGCGGCAGTAAGTACATGGTAGATAGTATTCACCGCCCACCAGTCTAACGGTAGTGGCCTAGCCTTCTGGGCTCCTGAGTCTTGGTACTGGAGCACCAGGTACCCGTGTTTGCCGTGTCCAGCGCCACACGACACACAAACGAATTATCTCTCATTTGTGACCTTTTTGTCACCTCTCTCTTTTTTCCTCTCCTCCTATCCAGTGCTCAGTCGTCGAGATTGTCAATCACCGTTGGCCTACCCCAGCTCGCCCAGTCTCGACGCGAGAAAAGGGAGCGGAGGCTCTGATATCCGGAGTCAGTTCGGGTTCCTGTCCCAGGTTCCACATTTTGCAGCTCCAGTGGGTGGCAGGCTGCGATTGCAGCCATCAATCGAAAGGCGAGCCACTGCATCGAGCCATCGCTGGCACTGGCACCGAACTGGCACTGAGTTGCCCTCGCAGTCTTGGCAGGAGCTACTCAACTCTGACTGCAGAACTTCGACTCCTTGAGACAACACTTCCTGCATATGGTCCCCATCCTCATTGACCACCACATTATCCCGTCGCATGTTCCTCTAGCTTTGCTCGATCTCTTTAGTAGCGTATGCTCCTCTCTGCTGCACCTCGCTACCCCCAATGTTCGTGCATGGTCACTGATCTCTGCAGTCACCGCCGTGGCGGAGGTGTGAACCGCCCTGAGGCTTCGCACTTCGTACCTAGACTCCGACGTCCTCCTTGTCTGCAAAGCAGCCTTTCGTCGAAAACCCTCTCCTCACCGTTCCATCCTATGCTTTAGCGGGTCAGATCAACCGCCACAGCCATGGCTTCGTCGTCGTCAAATGTCGTCGGGGTTCACTATCGCGTCGGGAAGAAAATAGGCGAGGGTTCTTTTGGCGTCATTTTTGAAGGTACCAACCTGCTCAACAACCAGCAAGTCGCCATCAAATTCGTGAGTATCCCAGCTGTCAGGACAACCATTGATGCTGCTGCAAGGGCTAATGAGATGGGACATAGGAACCGAGAAAGAGTGATGCCCCTCAGCTGCGCGATGAATACAGGACATACAAGATCCTGGTCGGCTGTCGTATGCTATACCCATTCTATCTCGAAGGTTTTTGACCTGAAACTGACTGACTCTGTCCCTTCAGCTGGCATCCCCAATGTCTACTACTTTGGCCAAGAGGGTCTACACAATATTCTTGTGATCGATCTACTGGGCCCGAGTTTGGAAGACCTTTTCGATCACTGCAACAGACGCTTCTCAATCAAAACGGTGGTAATGGTTGCTAAACAGATGGTATCGAGAACTCTCCGGCCTGGAACTACTCCCAATGCTGACCTGGTGGTAGCTGTCCAGAGTGCAGACGATCCACGAGAAGAATCTAATCTACCGCGACATCAAACCTGACAACTTCCTCATCGGCCGTCCCGGCACAAAGGCTGCCAACGTCATTCACGTCGTGGACTTTGGGATGGCCAAACAATACCGAGATCCAAAGACCAAACAACACATCCCTTATCGTGAGCGGAAATCACTGTCAGGCACAGCGCGTTATATGAGTATCAATACACATTTGGGACGAGAACAGTCACGAAGAGACGACTTGGAAGCTCTTGGGCATGTTTTCATGTACTTTTTGAGAGGTGGTTTGCCATGGCAGGGTTTGAAGGCTGCCACCAACAAACAAAAATACGAGAAGATTGGTGAGAAGAAACAAACAACGGCCATCAAGGACCTGTGCGAAGGCTTTCCGGGTATGTTTCCACGGACCTCTCCCCTTGAATCGAGATTTCCTTGCTAATCCGCGCTGCAGAGGAGTTTAACAAATATCTCAGCTACGTCCGTAATTTGGGCTTTGAGGACACTCCGGACTACGATTTCCTACGGGACTTGTTCACTCAGGCGTTGAAAAACACAGGCGAGGTGGAGGATGGTGAGTATGACTGGATGAAGTTGAATGGCGGTCGTGGCTGGGAAGCCGTCAAACAACATCCGTCACAACTTCACCTACATAACGCCAATCCGCCAGCTGATGCCTCTGCTCGCGCCTTGCATGGAGCCTCTGGTGTCCGAGGTTCAGAAGCACAACGACCTTCGCGGGACCGAGCAGCAATATCCGCCGACCGTTTAAACGCAGCGCAACCCCCGCCTCCAGGGTCACCAGCGAAGCCGGGAGTAGCGGCCATGGGGAAGAGCGCCCGAGACCGCACAAGCGGCGCCGCCGGGGGCAATCTCCCGAAGAGAAGTAGCGGGCTGGCCGGACAACTGGACATGAATACGCCTCCAGCGAGCACACAGGCTCAGTTCCAAAACAGTAACGCCAATCTGGTGAACCAGCAGGCGAGAATCAGTCCCGCCACTGGGGCGTTGCAGAGCAACCAGGGCCGGCCCCCGCAGCAGCAGGAACAGCAGCCTGGGTTCTTCCAGAAGATGATGAAGGTGCTGTGTTGTGGTATGCTTCTTAGGCACTTGTATCTGTCTCGGATTGAAAACTGACGTTGTTCTCCAGGTTGAAATGCCGGACAAGATCATCGGCCAGGTGCTCACGTCTCATCGATCTCGGCGGCTAACCTCCACGCAGATAACCACAGCCACGTGGATGTTGCTCGGCCAGCACAGAAAGAGAGGAATTCTTCCTCTGACGCAAAGTCTCGAATTTACTCTGTTTGGCAGATGTTGGCTCGAAAAGTTGGCCAAGACAACCTCGTGGTTACAAAAACAGGTGGTACAGGTGAGGGCATAAAATCCTTAACGACGGATCATGATCGCTTTTGTGCATAGCATCTTTCCTTGTTTCCGTATTTCTCACCGTGTGTACAAGGGTCAGCAGGGTGTTATCTATGGCAGCATTTTTGGGGTTGGGGAGCAGGGTGTTTCGGGCGTCGGAACGCACGAATAACACCGGCCTCCCTAGTACAACGAAGAATCAGCAAAAGGGAGTTACAATCAGAAGAGCAGAAGTCGGATGAGGCACAAATCAAGGGTCTAACGTTTTATCCTTGTTGGAAGGCTGAACGACCTGGTGTTTTGTAAAATAGAGAAGAACGCCGACAAAAAGACCAAAAAAATTCAGGGGGAGAAGCACGCGAGGAAAGCGGTAATGAAAAGACAAAAAGATTTACAATATCGAATATGAAGCATTTTCTTTTGGCTGGAGACTCTTGTAGCACTTGACGGGACGGCATCATGGCGTCTGTTGTAGCACAGTACCTCGTGTGGTCGGAGTGCAGGAGGGACCGATCTTAACTTGGCAGGCACCCAGTGCACAGCCACAACACATGCAATAGTAAATTCCCTACTTGGTAGAAGCGATTCCAGGAGTCGGCTTGTCGGATATGATTACTCGTTATACCATTCTAACGTCATGGGCAAGGTTGTGCCAGGCACCAGGACCTGGGCTGGCGGCACTTTGTAGACACGAGTAGTGACGGGAGTTTCGTTGTCTATACCACATGGCACATTACGTCGATGAGGGCAAGAAGGGCACCAAGGGAGCTAGCAGAGCAAGGCAGAGAGTTATGTAATAAGGCAGACACGCCGATACTATCCACTGTCGGCGCTGTTGGTCAGAGGTAGATGTCACCAGGGGAGCGGATGCCAGGTGATTGTGGCCATTTGACTCTGGCGTGACCAAAGGGCAACAAGAACTCAAGGCTAGGTGTGGATTTGGGCGTCATATTCCAGAATCACACCGTAGCGACCCTGGCTTCCCGGTGGTGCAATGGTGCTGGTGGGTGGTGGGTGGTGGGGTGACGGGGTACGGAGTACCTACCAGCGCTTGTCTTTGTCCCTGTGCTTAGGGAAATACTTACGGGGCCTGTGTGCTCGCAGCGAGGTGCCCACAGGTACCGGGTACATGTACTCCGTCCAGATGGTGGCCGCTTCTCAGGGATCTTCAGGGATCTTTGGCAGCCTTTTGGCACGCACTCCCGAAAGAATAGAGGGGTCGGCTACCTACTGTAGGTAGTCAAATAGCACCTAGGGCCAGCTCCCAAGGCCAATGGGAATGCCGAGACTCCCCCCCGGCGTGGCGTTTCGCTCGTTTCAAGTCCAGGTATTCGTTAACCATGGCACCTTTCTTTAGGATCCCCATCTGGTGCCATTTGGGGCCCATCCGGCATCGCGCATCTCACACCTCGAGTACTTCGCACTCCTTCGTCCCCGTTGTCGTCTTTCCATTCTGTATACCGCATATTGGTCGCAGCTTGAGTTCTACATCTCCTCGACCTCTCCGTCGAATATATTACCTCACCTTCTTATACCGTCTTTCCCTTTCCCTACCTGCCAAGCCTCCTCTTATCGAGCCGCTATTGATCTCTGCGACTCATATTTTCCAGCTCGCCGCTCCCAGTACGCATCACACTCACTGAACACCTCATCTCTAGCCCACCGCGAACCCGTATCTGTCCATTCTTCCGCTCTGTATTGGCGTCGCGACGATCTGGTAGTGCTTCACCTGGACAGTTCCAAGCATCGGCAACATCTCTGCGACTACTTTATATCATTGCGCTGCGGCATAGCCTCACTGCGCGCGGCTGAGTATGGCCCCCCAGCCTGATCCGACGACGCTTCCCACGAGAGCATCCTCTCTAACTTACTGCGCCACAGGCTAGTCCGCAAGGTGCACTTGGATACCACATTCTCACGGCCCATTGATCCCATCCTCGAGACTTATACCGGCCTCAGACGGCTGAGTCCTCGCGGGAGCGTTGTTCTTGACGGCCCCAAGCGATCCTGTCACCCTTCCCATCGGGTCCTCTCTCCACACTTCTTCTAATTTGGTGGATCGTGCCTGAGCGGTTGTGTTGAAAAAGATGGACAATTCCCGGGGGAGATCTCCTTCAAGAGGCAATGCGCAGCACATAAGCCCTCAGCCTTCCCCAAACCATTTCTCCGGCATTGTACCAGGAGTAGACCCTTCGGTTCAGCAAGCTTTGACCACTGGCAAGTTCAATACCTCCAACAGCGTCTTCAACAACCCGTTCCTTGCTTCCCAGCAACCAGGCGGCCTCCGACCCAATTCGAACGAGCCCGGTTTCTATGACAATAGCCAATATCACCAGAACATCTATTCAGACAATCAATTCGGAGGGCAGGGTTTGGATCAGTCTTTCAACGACGATAGTTACTTGTATCAGGGCGAAAACATGCCCGGTGATTTCAACCAGACCTATTCCTTGAATCAGCCTTTCGACATGAACCCTCAGAACAACATAAATCCGGCAGAGTTGAGCAAAGTTTCTTCACCCCAGGATCATCAGTCACCAAATCTGCAACCGCCAGAGAATTATTCGTCCCAACCAGGTTCGCCTGCTTCGACAAACGGCCAGTTCTACACCCCCCAGCATTCAAGAAACGCATCGCTTGACCCTTCCAGTGCCTATTCTGGCTTGAGTTTCCAACAGCACCGGAGAGCGCCATCAGAGCATAGCGACGTCTCGTCCGCGAACCATTCCCCCTACCTTGCTCATACAGAATTACACAACCCGGGAGTGGATATCAATCACTCGCCGTATCTTCCCGCACAGCCGGACACCAGCAATGCGTTCGGTATGGAAAGCTTTAGCTTAGGTGACCAAGCCCCGTACCGGTCTCCCAGGCTGATGCCAAACATGGAAGCCAACCAACAGGGCCTCGGAATGGATGGAGGTGGCTTACGTCTAAGCCAATCTTTGGGAATCCCCGTGCCTGACGTGTATACCACACAAGCCCCCCAGTATCAGCCGCCTGTCGTTCCGAGCAACCATATGCGGAATACTTCGGTCGTCTCGGACATTGGCCAGGCCGACCAATTCCAACCTCCAACAATTAATATCGAACCTGCCCCGGTTTCGAGGCAACAAAGCTTTGGACCGCAGGGCGAGGCGACAGAGGGTGCTTTGAGTCCCCCTTCGAACAACAGTATGTTATTCACCTCTCAACTGACGTGGCTAAGAAACGCTGACTCGAGATTTAGGAGGTCGTAATCGAAGCAAATCCGATGTCACATTCACACGGCCTTTGTCGAGGTCGAGTTCGCCTGGGCTCACTGCGACTAACGCCAATCGCAACAGTCTCTCTGTCCGATCTAGCACTCCTGAAAGAGGCCAATCTCTGTCTCGGGAATCATCTCCTGGACCGGGCGTGCAATCCGGACGCATTGACAAGAACCGCCGAGCTAGTACCTCCTCGATGGGTCAAAGCAGGGATTACATTCTAGATCTCGCCGATCCTACCAGACCGAATGCTTCTCCGTCCGGATCAAACACAAGAGTCCAAAAACATCCAGCGACGTTCCAATGCAATCTCTGTCCGAAACGCTTTACTCGAGCTTACAATCTGCGATCCCATCTGCGAACGCATACCGATGAACGACCTTTCGTGTGTACAGTCTGTGGGAAGGCGTTTGCGAGACAACATGATCGGAAGCGCCATGAAGGGTTACATAGTGGAGAGAAGAAGTTCGTCTGCAAAGGCGAACTTCACTCTACACCAGGCCAGCATTGGGGATGCGGAAGACGGTTTGCCAGAGCAGACGCTCTAGGCAGGCATTTCCGCAGTGAAGCTGGACGGATATGTATCAAACCCCTTCTTGAAGAGGAGAAAGCAGAGCGACAGAACAGAGCGATGATGGAGCAGCAGCAACAGCAACAGGCACACTTTGCCCAGCAGGGCGGGCTACAACCCGTCCCTCAGCCAATGATAATTGGCATGGACCCTACCACAGGTGCTGGTGGGTTCGCTTTACCCGCCGCGCTCCTGCAACAATATCCTGCATTGCAGAATATCGATTGGTCGCAAATTTCAACCGTCGACGATCAAGGAGATCTCAGCGACGTTGGTGGTATGGGGAGAGCGAGCTTCGATGCATCGAGCGGTGGAGAGTATTATGATGAGGACATATCTGATGGGTATGTCAGTGGCAACGGGATGGACTTTGCGAACCCAGGGGCACAGCAGATGTACATGGGGAGCTGAGTACACGATTGAGGTTTCTTTGATGCTACTGCCTGCGACTTGGCGCTTTCGATGATATCCCTGCTTTTGTTTCTGTTTTCCCTTCTCTTTTTGGCTGACCTGATAGCCAGGAACTGGTTTTGGACGTTTGATAGACTCATTTGTTTTCATGATCTTGATGATAACGGCGGACGGTAACAGGGAGAGAGCGGAGGGCTTTGGGTAAGCCCAGAGATACCACCCCTGTAATGATGTCAATGAAATGATGCAAGTCAACGTGCTCTCAAAGATAGACGACCGCCCTCAGACTACGCTGTGCTGGAAGCGTGTCTGTGCCAAAACCTTGACAATGGCGCATGATGAAGACAGTAAGAACCCGGACAGAGACGACATGTTGACTGAGTAGTTTGCTCTGGGTTTCTCATCTGAAGGCTACCTCTTTGACAGTTAGGGAGAGGAGCAGCTTGCCAACAATGGCGCTGTTAAATCGATAAATAGACATTTGGTGAATACAGAGTGCGTCCGCCAAATACCAGAGCAGGTATTTTTGGGTTAAACTGGTTTCAAAGCCTCATGAGCAAACCGAAGACATCCTGGTGGTGCTGAGGGTGCTTGGGTGGACGTCCAAGTCCGGTAGAGCGCGGCAAGGCTGGACAAGGCTGCCAAGGCGCTAAGCCCTCCCATGGAACGAACTGTCAACCCCATCTCCTCTACAAGGTATCTCACCCATTCCGCACCATTAACATCGCAACAGTGTGCTCACCCGTCTTCACTGCGGGTGCTGCAGAAAGATTGGTGAGCACACTGTCGTTAGTGCCAAGCGATGGCTTCCACAACATTTTCAACGCTCTGCAGTAGTGATACCACCGAGATGGTTGATATCACACCTCTACTGCAACTCGCACATCTTCCCAACCGCGACCATCGCTGTGGATCGTTCAGTCCTCAGCCGCGATGGGACGCACAAATTCGAGAAAGGCTGCTCGTCATGCCCGCATCACCCAAGACTTCTTTGATCAGGTTCCGGAAACATCTACTGGAGATTCAGCCAAGCCTTTGGCATCCACGTCGCCCTCTACAACTTCTTCTCAAGGCGAGGGTGAAAAAGCGGTTGACGATTCCGTCAACACTGCGAGGGTCATAAAGCCTGGTCTCTTGTGTGAAACCTTCCAAGCCCTTGATCTGAAAGACGATTACAGACAAGTTGTACGGTTCTCCCCTCCTTCCCCAGAGGGGACAACGCCCGTTTCAGATCTGCCCATACTGACATAACTCTCACTTTCAGGCCTGCTTACTTGGAGAGCGTATCTACCGCACTTTCGAGAGGAATCAGGAAGCTGCCAGAGATCTCCTACGTCACCTCTTTACCACTGCTTACTTGACTGTCGACGAGTCGACTGGCAAGAGAGTGTGGCGCATTGACTTGGACATCAAAAGAGAGATCATCAAAGCCATCCGCGCCTCCAAATTCATCGGCCTCTTCACCAGTCCCATACAACCCAAATACATCGATCTCCCTCCCGATGAGATTGAGTTTGTCATCAAAGCAAAGCACCCTCTGAAGGAATTCGACGTGATTGGCATCATTGTCGACTACTTTCTTGAATGGTCGGTTGAGTGTGCAAATTTCCTTCGCCTTCACCCAGATCTCAAAAACCTCGACATTTCTCTGGTACAATACGCTGAGCGACACGCTTCTTTTGTCTGCATCGGCATCATAGAGATCGCTGCTGCTATCAGAACTGAAAAGTCTATTGACCTTGACCCTCGCCCAATCGAATACTTCATGGCCGCTAGATTTGACAAGATGGCTGGTGAACAGAACCTCTTCATCCAGGAGAAGCAACAGAAGCCTGCTGCCAAGAACAAGGGTGAAGACAAAGTGGAGGCTGAACTCGTCGAGGACAAACAAGATGTCAACAAGCACATCACCAAGATAGAGCACGCTGCCGAAGGTGCCAAAGAGGAAGATATCAACAAGGATAACGCTGCCACCACGGGCACTGCTGCTGAATCCACTCCAACCACGATGGAATCCTCTGACGAAGCCGCCAAAGACAATCATGTCAACAAAGACACCATCACTACTGCTGCTAGCGCTTCCGCTACCTGTTCCAACATTGCTATCACCTCTGATGACCCCGTTTCTGCTGTGACCGCTGGTACTCGAGGCCTTTCCATCAAGGACCCGGGCGCAGGGCATGACGATCCGTGGGGTCTTCGCACTCGTCGTTCGCGACGCCCTGCTGCATCTGTCGTCCACAACGATATCTACACCGATACCGATGGTATTACCTCTGCTGGCGATCCATTCCCCAACCAGGATCCACGCACTCGTCGCTGCGAAAGACTCCGTGCGCGTGCACGCATTGCCAACGCCGGTGCTACTACTTCTCCCATGACCGCCGCCGATGCGTCTGGTACTGCCACTCCTGCTGGTCCTCGCGCTGGTCGCCGCTGTGCTTCCGCTTCTACTGCCGGGCCTAACAACGCTTCCGCCCTCCCACGCGATACTCCTCCCCAGCACCGCGCCAAGGACCAACTGTACAAGGAGCTAGAGGATCTCGTCAACACTAATTTCCCCTCTGCTCAAGCCCGCCGTGCCGCATTCGCGCAGGCTAGACAGCGCCTTCTCCGATCCGAGACTGTGGCGGTTGCGCGAGGTGAGCAACCACTGCGTGCCACTGCCACACGCGCGACTCAGGAGGCATTGACCCTCGGAATTGACGATGCCCTCAACGCTGTTCGCCAGCGACGTGCCGCAGAGGCAGCTAGGATGAGGGCCACCGGAGAGGGAACCGAGGCGAATGCGCGTGCCAGAGAGCAAGGATTCGGGTTCGACATTGGTGGAATGTCTGGCTGGACGGGGGAGTTGGAGGCCATGCAAATCCAAGCCCTTCAACGCAAGAAGGACCAGGTGGCCAAGAAGCAGGCTGGAAAGGATGCGGAGAAAGATGGTGATGATAACAAAGAGAAGTGAGAGGTTGGCTTGTCAAGGCAATTTCCTTACACGTCGTGTGGCTGAGAGCCCGGAGGTGACATGATGGCAAGGCAAGGGAGGTTCGCTTACATATTGTGTGCTTGATTGCCCGGCATCGACATTGTGGCTTGGGAAGGCGGGATCCGCACAGGCGTCGTTCGGTTGAATGGCAGGCATTCATCACAACAGCCAGCCTGTTTTGAGTACATAACCATGATACCCACCAGAGATCTGCTTACCAGATCTGCTCACCCGTCGGGGGTTGAGCAAATGCACTGCAGAGACAGTGCCATGAAGCAAAATTCACATTGTCCTGCTTCCTTTGGCCCCTTTCGTCATTGGTGTTGTGTGGATCCCGCGGTCGCTAGTGCTAACGATGATTACGACGATGAGGCCGGCGACAATTATGGCGAAGAGGCTGACGATGATGATAATGACGACGGCGACGGCGACGACAGAGAGAATGCGCATAGCGCGCTCTCGACATATCGAACCCGGCCACCACCTTCGCCAGCCTGTTCCCGTCTCTATCTCTGTCCCTATCTGTGTCTCTATATCTCTTTTTCTCACACTCTCTAAACTCCCATTGGCCCTCGTGGAGGACATCCTCTGATTCTCTCTCAAGTCCCTAGCTTACTCTGTGCGTATCTATACAACACGCATGCAAATAGTTTATCTACACACCTACGTGGGACACACCCGGTATATATAGTATGCGCCTGCAGAAACAACGGAAGAAAGGGGAGGAAACGCCCGCGCTTTGATCAGTGGAGTGAGTCCGTGCTGTATTCATGCCGAGTTCGTGAGACTCTCTCTCTCGCTCCCTCTTCATCTATCTAACCTGTCTAGCCATTGGTCGATCTGTCCGTATACGGATGGAAGGAGGAGAACTTGCTTGTTGTACAGTCTCTGCGATCTATCCGGGTGCTCTCAATGTACACATGCCAAAAAATGTCAGACATTTCAAACTAATCCGGGCGCTGTGGGTCGTTGTGTGAACACATAAGAATGCAAAGGTTAAGAAGTACTGAAGACAAAGAAGCCGAGGAAGCGAGACTTTTGAGCATAATTCGAACAGTTGATCCCTGGGGTGCTGGATATACGTATAGCCCTCATCGTAGCCTGGGTTGAGGAGTTTGCTGTTCTTTCTTGCGTTCAGGTCCCACGTGCATGGCTTCTGTAGTTGCGGTGCTTTCAAGCAAATAGGGTTTGAGGTCGCCGACCATGCAGAAAGTGGTTGTGGTGGCAATTGTCACGGTAACGGGGCCCAAGGAGAAAGCGATGGAGAGCTGCGGTGGGAGATGTTGCGGTCACGAATCGTCCTGCGCCGTTTAGGGCTTCATCCACATGACTCGTCGAAGATGGGCCTGGGAACAGCCGATTGCAAAGCAAATATTTAAGCATCTTCTCGGACGTGTTTCTCTTTGTCAATCTCCACCGACTCGCCAGGTGGTGTGGAGAGCACACTCGACGATTTGTACTCTCTAGGAGGCGCCGAGACGGTCGACGACGGCGGAGGAGGGACGTATCCAGTTGAGAGACGTGGGAAGCAAAATCCTGGGTGAAAGACTGTTTGGACGAGGGTGGCGAACACAACCATGCTAAATGTGATAGTTTAGCAATTAGTCACTGGGTTCCATGAAATAGGTTCCTGGGGTAATGGGATGGGAAGTATGGGGATATCATGGAAATGACGAGGAGAGCAATGCAAGGGAGACGCGACACATACCATCCATCAAGCGCAATGAAAGCAGGCTCAAACTGCATCACCGGATTCGCCCATCCACCGGCCATCTCAACAATCCGATAGATACATCGAATCACAATCGCTGCATACGCGAGGATGAATCCGTGCACAAACAGCCGGAATTTCCTGTCTCTCAGGAAACCCGTGGCCTCGGCTGAAAGTGGCACTTCGTGGGCTCGCCAGCGACGGAAGACGTACCATGCCCCAGCTACACCGAAGAAGATCAAGGTGACCACTTGCCAGGCGATACCCGCCATCATCAGGTTGTCACCGATGTCTTGTTGGGATTGGTTGTCGTTGGCGGTAGCGGCCATGCCACCACCAATTGCCTGAATCACTAGTGATACGAGGTCTCCGGTGATGAAGATCCATGTGTACCAGTTTGGTTTGATCTTGGAATACTCTGGTCCGAATGTCAGAGTTATGTGCTTGAGGACCAGGTAGATGGCGGCAGAGTTGAACGCAGGACCCAGGATCAGGCAGCAAATCTGGATCTGGAAACCGATCTCGTTGAACGGGTTGCTGTGCAGGATCACACGGCCAACGTAGCCGAGCGATTGATCAACGCAGGCCAACAACATGGCAATCAGATACGTCCATGTCTTGTAGCGGATGCCAAAAAGGAGTTGGAGGGCACCACACATGGCGAAGAAAGCCACGAAGAAGGCATTTGCACCGATCGAGGGATAATAGCCGTAGATTGAGTGCTCAACTGGACACCGGGGTGTGACTTCGGTGCAGTTAGCGAGGGGCAAGTAGTAAGTTGAGTTGCCGTTGTTGGCCATTCTTCAGGAAATGGTCGAAGACAGGAGTACAAGAAGACAAGGAATGATGGAAATGGAGTGGGAATATGCAGGGTTAGAGGAGATAAAGGTATATAAATTCATACACCTCGATGTACCCAAGGAACCATTTGACGGATTAATCCTCAGGCACCAACGAAACCAAGACTGACGACACGCGAAGTCTGCGAAACAAGGCTCTGGAATTGCCAGAGATGCGAATACGAAAGATTCGAACATGGGAATCCGCCCACGTCGCAAGCATGACCGTCAAAGCCAGAGGCAGGATGAGAGGACCGCCCGTGTGGATACATGAGGGCTGTTTCGAGATCCAGACATGTGGTCTTGGTCGCCCAACTCGTGTTTTATCGACGTCTGCCATGCGGCTGGGCGATGACAACTATGACTGAATGGCCATGCAAAGGCTCGAGCAAGGCACTCTAGCTGAGACTTCGCTCGTGAAGAGTATTGGGCGCCGTGGTGTGACCTCGCAAGCTGAACCCGAAAGTGGTTAAGACGAGATGCGAAGCGGGACAAGGCTGTACCCACCAGCCGAGCGACGTAGAAACCAGGCAACGGCGCGGCAAGCGTTCTCCGTGTCTACTTGGTACGCTCAAAGCAACTCACCAAGGGCGTCGGGCCCATTCTGCGGGTTGTACGAGGATAATCGCTACGGAGTAAGAAGCGCCTCTTTAGCGAGCATGAATAATTCGGGTCGCAGTCAAGGACGACACGAGGAAGTTGGAATGACGTCGGAAGTCGGAAGAATATTTCCTCCGTTGCCGAGGCTCTGACGAGACGCGACACAATTATCCGCCGTAGCCCAGTTTGCGCAGGCCCATAGCTGGCCATGATAGCTACTGTACGGAGTAGTTCGCCAGAATGCCATCTCGCCATGTGCCGAGTACCTCGAAACCTCTTTTACTCTACCGGCACCGAAGCGGAGTCCTTCTCTTGTCGCTGAGATGGAATGAGACCTCTTCGATTACACGGCTTTCTGTGTCTTTCTGCCTCTCTGGTTCTATACCCAGCCAAAATCCATGTCCGTCGAAGTCGAAAGACTTGTGACTTTTGCAGATGCGTATTTCGTGTCGGAACCCGAGATACGAGCCCAACGAGACCCTCCCTGCAAGGGTCGATGAACTCCCGCAAACCTAAAAACATGACATATCCCCTGACCAGAATCAGCGAGGGCAAGCCCCAAAATAGGAGCGAAAGAGATGCAGCAGGGGAACAACCCAAAGGGAACAATGACTATACCACAGCTGCGGCGGCTCATTTCCCTCCTCCAGGGGTGCCATTTCTCGGCAGGTTTTCGATGTTGCTGTGTTTGATGGCTTCCTGACCCATTGCCTCTCCCTCCCCCCGGAGACCCTCCGGAGGCCAATGTGGACCACACCGGCACGAATAAACTGAACTAGGTGTTGAGTATATCAACAATGGAAAGGAGGACGTTGGAGCTCATCAAAAACGAGTCTTTCAAACACTCAAGGACTAGTTGATCTAGACATAGACGGCCAAAAACAACGTCCAGCAACATGCCCTGGGACTTGAAACAGGCTGCTCTCGAATTCCCCTTGCCAACTTGTCAATCCGACCCCGGCTTGGCAAACGACGATCGTCCAGTAAACACATCGAGGCTTCTGCGCGAAAGATTCATCAGGAGGAGGACGGCCTACAGTTAAGGCGGAGTGGCATGGCGACTACGACCTCATTTCCGACTTGATGTCAGTATGAGCAGATGCGGCGTGGGGACGGGAGCGTTTGAGGTGCATGCTGATGCTATTACAGGGTCTACAGTTGTTTTGTTTGCCATCTGTCGCAATGGCCGAGGTTGACAGCTGTCAGCACTTTCTCTTTACTACTGACAGCAGAAGCAGAGATTTCAAACTTGCGGCATGGCAAGGTGCTCATCAAAACGCGCTCCCTCGACCTGGCAGGAATGAGCTCCTCATTCCTCAGCCTTTCGACACTCGGCAGGCCACCTCAATCCCACAGCCCCTTCACCGATATCTCCCTCCTCCCCCGAAATGATTGACAGACTTTTGATATGTTTTTTATCTTCGGCTATGGTGCAAGGGATAAAGAATGATTTGGCACGTTCAACAAGGGTAATGGAATGCGCAGTCCGCTATTAGTCTAACTTTGTTTGAAGCATTACGGGTTTGCAGGACCGGTTCCACGTCGATAGTATGGAGTCATCAAAGTCTCAGCAAGGGGGTACACCACAAGAATGTGCTGGATGCTGCCTAAGTGTTTGGCGATGGCTCGCCATGTTGCACGAGCGGTCCCTGCTTCACTTTGCTGTCGCTCGGGAATGTGGTCCATGCGTAGACAGCTGAGATTCTCCCTGAACTCCTTCCGAACTGATATTGTAGGACGAAACCTTTCCTGCATGCTACTCCGTTTGTCCCTAAGTTCCCACAGCCTTTGCTCTCTTTGGTTTCTCGGATAGACCTGCGGCAAGGCTTCCTGCTTCGCCTGACCAAAATGGACCAATATATGCCCCTTGCTACCGACATTGGAATAAGTGACCATATGGATGATTTCGAGCTCCCAAACATCGACCTGGAAAAGATCCCTGCACAGCACTTGCCCAAGTGGTGTCGATTGCTCGGCTGGCGGACGTCCTTAAGATGGGAGGTCCCATCGAAATGGAGTCCCTCGACAACAGCCGACCTACCTAACGCAAAGAGAGCCGCCTCTCTCATTCTCGCTGGCATTGTGGTTGCACTCCCGCGGTTTCTGCGCCCAGGAGGTTTGAAAAGAAAGAAGAAACTACACCCAACTGCTTATTTGGATGCGTTGAGAGGCTGGGCGGCTCTTCTCGTCCTCCGATTTCACATGTTCTGGAACAGAACGTGGCTTTTAGAGCAGCCAGTCATCCGCGGTTTTCTCAACGGTCGAGCCATGGTTGAAGTATTTTTCGTCATCTCCGGATACGTTCTCAGTTACCGACTGCTCAAAATGATGCGCAATCAGCAGCACGACCTCCTGCGGGCTTTGGCCTCGTCGACATTTCGACGATGGTTTCGACTGTTCATTCCGACGGGCCTCGGCTCTTTGATCGTTGCCACTGCCTCATATCTCGGCTGGTGTCGAGGGGATCTCCATCAGGACTCTTTCCCTGCTCAAATGTGGGATTGGTTCTGGGATTTTGCCTGTACTACCAATCCTTTCGCTGATATCAAGGGCTGGTGGTATCCAAGCGTCTTCCGCACGAAATACCTCGATCCGATGTGGACTATCCCCGTCGAGTTCAGAGGAAGCATGGTGCTCTTTTCATTCTGTGCAGTCGCCGCTTTCTTATCTACAAGAGGTCGGAGGATCTGTTGTAGTATTCTGATACTTCTCTGTTACTTCTGGTGGACGATCTATGCTGCCCTGTTCCTGATCGGTCTGATGATCGCGGATCTTTCATTCGATCGCCACCCAGAACGCCTGTGCCCCGTGCCTCTTCCACAGCAACAGGACGACGAAGCATCATCGAGCCGCAGAGCCTGTCAGCAAATCCTCAACAAAGTCGGATGCAGTCTTCTTGTCGTTGTGGCACTGTTCTGCTTCGGAATTCCACAAGACGGATGGAGTTACCAAGGGCCCTTTCCATGGGACTATCTCAGCAAAGTCATACCGTGGTGGTATCCTATCGAGACGACCGAATACTTCTGGCTTAGTATTGGAGCCGCTCTTCTGGTTTTCGCTTTGGATAATTGCCGCATGCTTCAGATTCCTTTCGAACTGGGCTTCTCTCAGTATCTGGGAGACCTCTCTTTTGGTATCTACGTCATGCATGATATCGTCAACTGGTGCTTTTACGAACCTATTGTTGAACCTTGGCGTGCCGCACACCTTGGTGATGGTTACTGGTCAGGCCTCCCTGGGATTTTGATTACAACAACTGTGGTGCTCTGGACTGCGGACTATTTCTCTAGGATTGATACCTGGGTTGTACGATTTGGCAGATGGTTAGAGTCGAAGACCTTTGTCAAGTGGGAAAACTAAGGGGATGTTGATTGACACAAGTTCAAATAATGAGGCTTCCATTGTCCTAAAGTGCAGCAATGCGGTGTGATACAAATCGTTTGGTGACTGGCCGCTTCTTCATTGGGATATTCCTTTGCGCTGGCATAAATCTGCCAGCAATTTATTAGGTTTCTTCAGATCCAGTGTGACCACGAAGCCTTTTGTATGGTGTCCAGATACTCCGTAATTTCAGATTTAGGAAGAATGCTTCTTCTGCCTCTCATACCCTGTGACCGAATCACGCATTTTGAGCAAAGTTTCATAATCAGACATAGTCAGATCTACGACCGGATCTTCCCTCCTGGGAGCAACAAGTGTTAAGACCTGTCCGTTAACGCGAGTTTGTGGTTCTACTCGCGCATCGCCTATCTTGATTCTTTATCTCCACCACTCGACGAGTATCTCTACCATGACACGAGATGGCCATTTATGCTGCTAACGTAGCACTCAACTGTACCTTTCCCTCTCCCTCTCGGCGTACCAGATAAGTAATATAAACTCGGTGGAATAAGTCAACAATGCGCCTCCCTCACGGTGGGAAAGGCCGGCCACCCCTGCCAAGCCTCAGCCTTGCAATTCAGACATCCCAACATCTTCTTTGGAGATGCTTATGGAGGAACTGAGGTTTAGGGTAGCCTCGGTGACGACGTCGGCAGGCCGACAAAATGAAAAACCAAACGAAGCCGTTGAGGAAGGAAGATCCGAATCTCGTCCAAGTGACATAGGAGTTGCAGGGAGGCGGAGAAGGGTAAGCAGCTGAAGAATCAGAAGGAACGATGTTCGGTGTGCTCACCGGGGAATGGCATCAAGATAACTGGGTTTTCCAGGGAGAATTGAGCCCTATTTTACGTCCGTAATGGAAGAAGGCTTGTTTCCACATCCTGCTTAGGAGCCGGACAACGAGACCACCCGTTCACGCGACAACCATCTCCAGGATCTCCATGACCTGCTCTTTCTCCGTGATAGGCTGTGCGTTCGTC